GTGTTGAAACGACCGATTGAACTTGTTCCAGGGTTTCTGTTAGTTTATCAGCAGTTTTTCAACTCTGTCTTCAAGTTGTTGAACTGCAGTCTTAAGTTCATCAACATTGACATCTTTCTCTGCATCTTCTTCATCCTCTGTATCTGTATCTGTATCTTCTTTTAAAATGGAAGTTTTAAGCATTTCAAGAGTTTCTGTTATGTTATCAGCAAGTTGATGCACTGCAGTCTTAAGGTCTTCATCTTTGCCTGCATCTTCTTCATCTTCTGATGAAGTATTATCTTGTTTTATGTCTTCTTCTTCTTCCTCCTCTTCTTCATCAATCTTTTCACTTGCTAATCTTGCTGAAAAGAAAGCCACTCTCACTCCCTGGTCAGAAAAGTAGTCTGCCCACACTTGTCTCTGTTCATCTGTCATAAAATCAGCCTTGTTCAATAAAATCATATTCTCTTTGTCCTTGCCGACTTCTTTGACATATTTTTCCAGATCTTCACATCTGAAAAGTAGTGGATTTCTGGCATCAACAATTTGTACAACCACATCACTTCTCTCAACAACTCTCCACAATTGTCTCCAAAACTCTAGGTTCTTTTCATATGGAGTGAGTAATAACTTCTGGTCCTCTTGAAGCTTGGCAAGTGATCTCCTCCATTCAAGAAATGCTTCTTTTTCATTAGTTTGCAGTTGTTCTGTGGTTGTAGTGGAGTCCCATGCAGGTCTTCTAGGAATCTTGACAATATCCTTATGTTTAAGATGTTGCTCCTCCTTCTGCTGCATTTCATCTTTAGATAAAAGACCCACATTGCTTCTAGGGTTGACAAACTTGATATTTAGCTTTTCTGCTTGGAATTCTGTGCCAGCAAGTTCAGCAGTTGAGAGGAATTCTTGAAAAGAACTTTCTTCCGTCACTGATTGTAGATTCAACCTGCCCCAATCGTATCCGTCTTGGATTTCGGTCGTGTGCAACTATATAACACCGTCAAAATATTTTTAACTAAATATTTGTATCATTATTTTCAGTTTCAATTAAACTGTGAGGTTAGAAAATTGTTTTGCTTACCATTGAATTATCAGCAACAAATTTACGTTGTTTAGGGCCACCGAAGCGGTCCTTTATAAGTTGGCGGCCTAAGCCACTTGCGGAACCTTTCTTTTACCCATTTTATAAAATTTTAGTAATTTTACATGTGCGTTCTACAACAACAAATAGGAAATGAACTTGAGGTCAACAGATGTTTGCATGACAGCAAAAAATAAAATAAAATTACACAATAAATGAAAGAAGTCAAACTAAAAAGTTTAATTGTGTCCGATAGAGTTTTTAATAATACATAATCTGCATTCATTCAAAATGAAAATGCAATAATCATTATGGAATTATTTGAATAAATATAAAAGAATTCACTTCTCAAATTATAAGTAACAGATGGCGCACCAACCTAGTATTTATACTTACAGTCCAGTAATATATCCGTGAGATGTCGCATCATAATCAAAATATATTATTTTCAGGCAGAAATAAATACATAGTAATAAATTATTACTGTTTAAAACTGTTAAATAAAATGCGCGTTATATACTATAAATCACCGTTGTATCTTCGGCATTTTAGATTTAATGATAACTCCAGAAATTACCATGTGAGTACACAAAATAGCAATGAATAAAGATACTCAGCGTGTGATTAACGCCGATTCCGACGATGAATCGTGTGCGATAAACGCGTGAAGAATTTTTCAACAACTACATCCGACTCATTATGTGATTATGATAACATCGCATCTTCAATGCACGCTTGAATTCGTTGAATCGTCGAATTGTTGAATGTTTTTGCTTTTTGTGGGTATTAAATGTTTAAAATTTACATAAATGTTTCATATCTTGAAGAATTCGTAGATGTTTTGTAGATGAAAACATAACAATATTCATGTGTTACAATCAATACGATAACATAATTGTTGAAGAATTTTGTTTATCTTAATGTTTACACGTACCTTTGTCTGCGATTGTGTACGCCCAAATTATAATTTAAAAGGAAATTTTAATCTTTTGGACCTGATAAAGTAGAAACCGACAAAAATATCATTTTCAATTTAAAAAACTAAGAAATATTAATAAGGCATTTTAGCGCCACCTAGAGTTAAATTATACAACTTTAACTAGTGTTTAATCACTTTATCAGCTTTCATCCCTTATTTTACCCGTTTTAAAATATAATTTTGCAACAAAAAGTAGCCAAATTGCTTTTTCTTTATCAATAATATCTCAACACCAAAGTTTATCAATATTGGTTGAGTGGCTTAAGCGTAAAAGTGTCACAAACAAACAAAAAACTCACATTCGTTGTTCAACATTAGTTAGAATATAAAAATTAATTGCTTAATTGATTAAGTTCTTTATGTAAGTTTTTAATTTAATTAATAATGTGAGAAAATATAATCATATAAGTATTTTTTCTACTTTTTAGTAGAGTAATATAACGTTATGTGTGAGTAATGAAGAAATATTCACCAAAAATTGTTAGAAATTTAATAATACATGATTAAAACAAGAAGAAACTCTTTGTACTGTTAACTTTAGTACACATATTAATATACAGGATGATATAATCATAAAAATTTACAAAAAATAAAACGTTTTAAGAAAAGCGGTGTAAAAGTGTGTCTCGAGGGCATCATCCCGCTTTAATCGTTTATTACACACGTTAATACAACAACCAGTATAGTAAAATGATAGTTTGTATGGATTTCGGGGCTGACCCAATAAAAACTACGTGATTTTATCCGGAGATGGCTGTAAATTGATACCGTGACCACCAAATTATAAGCCGTCGATGCAGAAAACGTGTGAAGATCGGGAGTGAGTATAACAACGGTGATTATTGACACGATCGAAGTGCACGACGCTCTTCACCGGCCGCTTACGAAGAGAATGAAATATTGCTTGATTCATAAAAATGATGCGGTAACAACACCAGAAAACACTCATTCGCCATGTTATAACGTACGAGGAAATCGCGGCGAATTTCTAAACATGGCGCGAATTGTAAATCGCGCGCTGTCGGCGTTTGCCTACTTAACGCCTTTTATAAACATCATTGATATTAAATTTAATAACGATCGTCTTGTGGCTTAAGTACGTCATGCCTGCCGGGGATGAAACACAAGCGGTGATTTTCGCATTTTATCAATTTTACTTGCACTTCCTCTTGTTGAGAATATTGTGATGGCGTTGTTTTCGCTACAGAAATTAACCCTGGAGTGCTAAAGATGTTGTTTTGCATGTAAAATAAACTAAAATATTAATTTTCATTGTCAACGCCATCTGGTATCAAAGTTAAGCTTCGCTCTGTGAATTTTAGGTTAAAAATTGATTTTTGAGTGTTTTCAACACAAAAATCAATTTTCTGCCCTGAATTTGCATCCGAGGGTTATAAGATTCACAAGCGCTTAACATTGAGCGTTAAATCAAAAGTTTTCGAAGGCGCAGGCAGATCGTTTACGCCGGGATGTGGCGTGAAGCTGAGCGCGTCGCTATCAACGGCGCAGCGCGCCTTCTATTAATCATAATCAATTCCACGGTGCGGCTACTCATTATGGGCTGTTATAGATCGCCGATAGCCGGGTGCTGTGGCCGGGCACGAATTGGCGTCATGCGAGCAAGCGCGTATTCCGTGTGCAGCACCGACGGCCGATACGAGCTGATGAAAATGTGAGAAGGCCCTCACGACCCAGGCGATAACGAGGCGGTGTGCGCACACCTGAACAACCTGGTGGTAATCATTCTCACACTTACCGACCTGCAGGAATTTCAATACAAATATTTAGTTTTTAAAATTTATTACGTTTCAGATTCATTATACCTGTTACCCGGAGTGTAATTCATCTGTAAATACTAGTATAACCTTCATATTGCAATTTTTAGGTTATGTACAACTCTCTGTTCATGCGCAAAACGTGTAAATTCATATTTAGAGTTTTTTAACCTAAAAATTACCCTCAAATTAAATTTCTGCCGAATGCCACACGCAGAACAATCGTGTTTGGCTGTTACACGGTTACACGCTTATAAATGTTATAATGAACCGCGGCGTTAATTAAAAACGGATTAATAAATCATTCCAACACCCAGCGCGAGGTGCTGCGCCCCGCTTGGCGTTGCACACCTGATGCTAAGGCGTGTGTGTGCTTGGTTGCTTCGTTATTTCAATATTTCAACGTCTTGTTAGTGCCCCACTCGTCCATGCACAGCAAACCAGCAGGTAATGAAAGCCTCGAAATATCTAATAAGTACACGCCATGCAGCTATTAATTAACGAATTTAAACTGAATTTTAAGCAGCCTACAAAAATAACACTCAAGTGAGTTTTATGGAGGTTAGGTTAAGTAAATTGCAATTTTATTATATTATTACGAGATTTCGCCAGAAGCTTCCTAAGTGCGTAAATTTTAATGAAAAATATTCTTGTTTCTTGTTTATATTACGATTTTATTCAAATTCCACTAATAATTTCCACTTTAGCGCCATCTGGATTCGAATTATGTAACTAAAACTATTATTGAATCTTCATATCAACTTTAATCGCTTATTTTCACTCTTCTAGTTAAATTTTTACATCAAAAAGTACCCTATTTGCTTTTCCTAAGTTCAAAATATATCTATACCAAAATTTATCAAAATTGCCTGAGTGGTTTTGCGTGAAAGCGTCACAAACATACTCTTTGTAATATTAGTATTATATTCAACAATTATTATCAACACCACGTATAAGATATATTTCTGTGTGTGTTTATAATCGATTTATAATATTAATCGCACGATTACATCTCGGAACGCCTTTTCATGCGCGTTATCACAATATCAACATTAACATAGAGTGAATAGAGTGAAACATGAACATGCGCTTGAAAGAAAACATTAACACGTCCGTAGCAATCGCTAGCAGGCTATTAAAATTCGAACGTGTTTGAACTTGTTCAATCAAGCAATCTTTCTCCTAAACTAATTCTCTAGACAAATTATAATCGTCGTTTTGTTTTAAAATAATTAAACTTATATTGCATTAAAATTATCAGTTCTCACGAGATATTACGTGCTACATTTGTGCAATTTATATTTGTTTAGTGTCATTTAACTTAAACACATCATCATTATCCTATGGAAATCTAGATTAAAATAATTAATTCTTCCTTTTTGCATTTGGCACCATTTTATTACAATTTATTATATGTATTAATATTAAACTTTATCATTTATCATTCAACTTTTCCAATTATGCATTTTTCTGTGCTTCCTTTCGTGTTTGGTGAGTTTAACCGACGTAGAATAAGAAATGAGGAATAACTCTGGCTAACTACTTGGAAAACACTAAAACGCGAGCGCAGGCGAACGAAAAATAAAGAACGCGTAAATGGGACATTTAAATGCATAAAAACACGTGAGGACGCAGCACGTAACTCTTTGCAACGCGCCAAAGGACTGAACGAAGACGACGAATCGGCGATTCAAGGATGCGAGGATAATTTCAGCTGGTTGGCGATCATGACGCGATTTTATGGCTCGTCGACGAGCTGAGAGTTTTATTAATTACGCTTTTACGTTCGTGTTAAGTAATTCGCTGCTCGCACGCCAAACGGGTATAAAGACACGCATTTTACAAATTGCGCAAGGGAATTTCAGTTTGTG